TGAAAAGCTCGGGAAGTCGAATTTCAGGTAAATGCATTTAGTATTTATTTTTTTTCTAACTTCCAGTTCCTTTACATCTACCTCCCTTTTCTAACACAGCTCCTTTATCTACAATCAACCTTCTCCTTGCAATTATCTTTCCTTCAAACCTGAAGTCCATTTTTAGTCGTGTCTCTCCGAGTGCCATCTCTCTTTCTACCAATCAGTGCTTTTAAAACTAACATGTATCTAACCTGCAAATTCAGACTTTTTCCCACTTTTCATATTTTTAATTTTATACATTGTAACAGATTGGCCACCAATCTTTTTATCGCAAATTGGTAGGAACGTTAGTACAGAACATTCGTTTTCAGTCATCATATCACAGTGGTATCATACCAATATCAATTTATTATTAGTTTATGGAAATTATAATACCTTTTAATGTGTAAACAGCAGCTGCAGCTGTTGTGTACATCAGGTATATCTATATAATACTTGAAGCTACAGATATATTGAGCAGCAGTACACATATAAGTTAGAAATTATTAGTCTTAGAATGGCTTTGAATAGCGAGGTGCTGATCCGAAAATCAGGCGTTGAGTGATCACAGCATGAACCCATTTTAGAAATGCACATTTCCAGTATTCTTGTTCATCCACTGAAAGTTTCTTAGACATATAAAAAATTACAACGAAGTTTGTCCACGACATAACTTCTAAACCGTTAAAGATATTGATCACACTCGATGTATACAATACCTGCATCACCCAAAGAAGGTGTGCAGTGCCCTGAAATTTGGTCTCGTGTCCAACTATATACACACAGAGTTATGGCCCTTTTTATTTTTAATACCGAAGTTTGTCCACGGCATAACGTCCATGTTATTTCACCTACGTTAATCAAACTTGCTATAGTTATGTATCTTGGGAAGTAGGAGTGTCGATTTCTTAAGTCGGGTCTCGTGCCACACTATATATTGAGATATTGCCCTTTGTTTATTTTTCATACCGAAGTTTGTTTGCAGCATAATTTCCATGTTATTTCTCCTACGTTGACAAAACTTGCTTAAATGACCTAAATACACTAAGTTTAAGTTTATAAAAAATGATGAGCCAATAGAATAACCAGATTGTAATCAGATGTGTGACAATTCCTATTCTATAGTACCATAGCTGCCGAAACTTATCCAAAATTGTTAAGGCAATTTTACATGAACCAGAATAATTTTAAAATTTAATGGTTTAAAATGTACACACCTTAATCTTGGTATGACCTTTCTATTCTTCCAAATAATCATATTGGCTAATAAGGCGAGACATATGTTTTTGTTCACAAAACAAATTTCTAGTTAATTATCTGTATCCTATTATTAACAATATACCCATGGTACTAGACTACACCGAGTAGAAAGTGATTCTTCAGCAGTTATGTAAAATTAACAAAATTATCGATCATCATAAGTATTATATATACACAAAAGTAAATAAAGAATTTGGAAGATTTAGATACCATTCTATCTTCATCTAATAACTTATATCATGTTAAATTAGTGCTTGAAAGCCTGGACATCTGGGGGAAAAGTCACCTGATTCGCTTAGTTTGCAAGAGACAATATGTTTTTGTGTTGCCTTTGAAGTAAAGATGACAGTGAATAACTCAATCAATGTCATCATCGTCAGCAATTGTTTCCTTGCGATTACCCTTAAAAACATGCTTTATTTTTCATGAATATTTCTGCACGTGCCAATAACAACGATTACCCGAAGTGTTCAAGTCCAATTTAGACCCTAATCTGAACATCAACATGGCTGCCATCGCGGCAGATCCATTGACACCTGTTACCGTGGACTTCTGTGTGTCGTGGATTTGTACATATACATATGTTATTCTATCGTCTGAATGTTGTCACGCTTCACGAGTGTTTACGTATTGGTCATATGATAAAGTCCACGTTAAAACTGTTTATAATTATTTGTATGTAGTGTATTTTTTTCATTTCAGAATATTTTATTGTACTGATCTTCCGTACAAAAGGAATTGGGCAATAGGCATATCCTATATAAGCCCTCTCCTTACAAAACATAACAGTATATACATATCATATAAATGTTACTTTTACATGTGTTTCTTTAAGTATTAAAATAAGAGATTATTTGTACTTTGAATTTGATTTGACAATACATATTTCAAATATCACAATTGTTATAAAAGAGATTATTTTACAAAGTTATTTGAGAATCGAATAAAAACGTCTAGTGTCTCTAATGTAATTCTGAACCGTCTCCACAATATTTATATTCATATTTACGTCTCTTGATTGGAAACCATAAATAAAAGTTTGGGTATTGAGTGGAATAGCATCACTCATCGCTGACAGAGAGTTAAGTCATATTAGTCGTTGGTTAGTATAAAAAGGACAGTGCAGGAAAAAATGATCACGAGCCACATATACAAGCAGGGCTATCATTTTGATGTGCATTAAATAAATCTGAATTTAAATTACTTGCAGAATTTCTTAACTGACATAATGTTATGTTAATTTTTCTATCACCGTGATATTTACAAATGTTACTACATATTGGGTGAACATCATCCATATGGGATGAACGTAAACATTCCTTTTTCAGAGCTCCAAGAGATGTCATAGTGGGAAACAGACTGGCTGGATTGTTCCATTCTGACATCAGTTTCGGAAAATAGCTAGAGTTATATAAATGNTGTTATTAAAGAATTTAAAAAATGCAATATTTTGATGTAAATGTCTTCTTTTACTAAGTTTAACAAAGCCAGTCTCTCTATATAAAATGTTATAGCTCGTTCCTCGTCTTAAACCAGAAATAATGCGTGCTGCTTCAAGTTGGATTGACTCTAAGACGTTGCACTCTCTCTGGGAACAGTTAGCCCATACAATATCAGCATATTCGAGGATTGGACGAACATATGATATATATATTGTTTCAAGGGATTTTCTATCAATCTTAAATTTTAACATTCTAAGTATATTCAGTCTTTTATATGCTTTTTCATAAATATAATTTATATGAGTTGACCAGTTGGCTTTGCCATTGAAAATAAGACCAAGGTGTTTATGATCAATAACGTTATTAATAACTGCATTATTAAAAAATAGATTAGGATGCAAGGTCTCAGAGTCGACCCGCCTTGAGAAAAGTAGAGCCTCCGTTTTATCCGGATTGAAGATGATACCCCATTTATCAGCCCAGATAGAGATTTTACGTAAGTCTTCATTTAGTATGTCAGCAGCTTCCTGTCTGTTTCCCTCTATCAATGCATATAAAGATGTGTCGTCAGCGAAAAGCTTGACATTAGAGATTAAATTTTCTCCGATATCATTTATGTACAGTAAAAATAAAAAATCGCCCTAAAACTGACCCCTGTGGTACCCCCGCCTTTAACGTTTTCCAGTTAGATTTAAATCCATCAAAGACCACCCTCTGTCTCCTATCAATTAAATACGAAGAAAACCGTTTCAAAATATTACCGCAAAACCCATATTTTTTTAATTTGAAAATTAAACCATCATGCCAGACCCTGTCGAAAGCTTTGCTGACGTCACAAAATATCATTCTAGCTTCTTTACCTTTATCCAAGTGCTTTACAATTGCATCATATATAACTAATAATTGGTAGACAGTTGAATCTTTAGGTAGAAACCCTGATTGATTCTTAGAAGCAATATTATATCTTGAGAGATAATTAAACATATATCTAAAAACATTTTTTTCAAGAAGTTTACTAAAAATAGGAGTAACAGAGATTGGTCTATAATTAGATGGGTTACTTCTTGCACCCTTGCACTTGTACACGGGTGTAACATGAGCATTTTTCCATGCAGAAGGGAGAATACCGGAGGAAATAGATTTATTGAAGATTAGTAACAGAGGTCTTAATATAGATTGTATGTAGTGTAAGTGGTGTTGGTGGAATTTGTTCTGTTTTGTTTTGACTTAGCTTGTGTGTTATGTGTGTGTGGGGGGGGGGGGCATGTGTGTGTGTGTGTGTGTGTGTGTATGTGTGTGTGTGTGTTTATTGAATATGTCGTTTGCAAAATGAATGAAACATAAAAGATGAAATAAAATAGAAAGTGGATGTTGCAGATTGGTTGTACTGTTTTTACTCTAGTACCTGTGCTGGCCATTTGGTGCAGCAAATTTTTGCTTTCTTTGACTTTATGCATTGTCTTACAATGTACTCAGTGTTTAATTTTCGTATTTCTAAGACAAATTACCTATAATTCACGATTAAAGTACAGATATACAAGGTACGATGACCAAGTTTAGAGTAAAAGTTCTTAACTGCTGTAGAAATATCACCCCATCGGTGAGTTCAAAGTCTAACTTTTAATGGTAATATTGCTTACTTTTTATGTTTATATTTCAGCAATGTTATTTGTCAAAAAATCTTAAGACTTTTTATGGATAACAGAATTAGTCATTCCATGTAAATGCAATTTTAGTTGATTGGTCAATACTGTCTCGAGAAACGATGATATCGAATACTATACTCGACTTTGTCAGAATGCAGTATCAATGTAACATCAAGGTCGACTGACATAGATATGCAAATTATGACAGATACATGCATAGGAATATGCAGGTACATGCATAGGAATATGCAGGTACATTATCGCTCACTAAATCATACACATGAAATGTTGACAACCAGGATGCTTGAGCCGCATTCGTTTATCGCGGTCTAAACAGTCTTACCAGAGTTGTTCTTTATAGGGACTGGCCTTGAGATCTGACGTTGCTTCATGGTGAGTCTTGATACAAATTTACAAGTGTAGCCTTTCAGTATATTTTCAATGTTTTGTAATTATGTAGGCACTCATACTTACAATGACGAAATGCAAGGGTTGTAAAAGATACGATATTATACCTACAATTTAACCACTCAAAGTCATTTTCAAGGTAATCATGTTACGTCCTGTCGACATTGATGACGTGTGGAATGGTTTAGGAAGGTTTGGCGTGTACCAATTCCAGCAAATGACACTGACTATATTGGCAACCCTTCCAATGGCGTTTCACATTGTATCCGTTGTTTTTATCGGTAAGTAGTATAGAAAGACTAAAACTGTTGATCAATTTCACGCACATGTGAAGTAAACACACCTCAATATTGACTATAAATATATATTAAGGCTTTTTAACAACGAATTAACAATACTCAAAAATAGTTCAGAGGAAATGGTACGTAAACTTCAACATGATATACATCTGACTTCTTGTTAAGAGAATGAATTAAAAAGCCATGAAACGAAAACGTATTTTGTGAAATTCAAACCGGTATATAAATATATCGTATTTATGTTTATAAACAGGCATGTTGTGATTTTTGTAAAGGTTTTTGTTTTATTTATTCGCTAATGCACACGTATTTATTCATTTATTTATTTATACATTTTTGAAGTACACGTTAATAAGCCATTCAAGATGCCAAACAAATAAGACTAGGAAAAACGGCTCTAGATAACGAGTTTCAACTATACCTGTCTCAATAAAAAAATACTATGTATTTTGATCAAAGATATTTATGAAAATAATGTAATTTGACAGTTTTAATGTATTTTTAGGTTTTACACCTGAACACAAGTGTTCTGTAGAACTGCCAGACGTAACACTTGGTGAAGACAATCACAGCATTAATGACGTCATCAATGTGACTGCCGACACATGTAGTATCCTCTTGCAGCGGAATGTTAACGGGAATTTAGTGACAGAAGAAACAGGCTGTTTGTATGGAGTCAATTACACATTCCCAAAAACGTCCACGTTTGTATCAGAGGTAACAGCCTTAGTACTTATTACAGAGAAATATATACAATTCGCAACTTAAGGTTTTATCAGCAATGTTTTTAATGCAATTTCTCGTTTGGTGTAGGAAAATAAAGATATTGTTGTGGTAATTCCACAAAATTAAACATGTCATTGAAATATTCGTTCTTTCTCATCGCCAACTACCAGTTCTTTCGCATTACTTATATTGTTTACAACAGAAACGTGTTATGACCCAACAGCCATCTTTGTGGTCATCTTCTTGCATACCCATTCTAATTTTCACATTTAATGAAAGTAAAAATCGTTTGATTTACCAGTGGGACCTTGTATGTGAAAGGGACACGATTGGTCGATTGTCCCAGTCTCTCGTTAATGGTGGGATGTTTCTTGGGGCCCTGGCCGCACCACTGGCCGATAAATTCGGGAGAAAGCCAGTTCACGTGGCCTTCAACATCGGCTTACTGGCAGTCACCTTCACAATGGCGTTTGTAAAGAATATTACCGCATTTCTTGTACTGCGCTTCTTTGTTGGAACCTTTCAGCAAGTATGAATATTGGTGTTATTTGTTGCACTGGATACTGTTTCGAAAACTGGAGAATTATTAAAATGCTACTGGCATCCCATTGTCGAAAATATCATTGCGCTAACCAAGTATTAAGGCTACAATCGTTTATCGTGATCCAAACGGTTGAACCGGTTGGACCAGAGTTGTTCGTTTACGCGAAAGGGGCTTTTTAAGTCATCAAATTGATTTCAAAATGTAGATCTTGTAAATGAAAATGTTCTCAAGTCGAGCAAAGATGCTGTGATTAAACCAACTTTCTTTTATCTTCATTAAATCATGTGGCAATCAAGCGTAAACACCGAAAACTTCATTAAGAGCTTCCTATTTTTTCCAAATCATTGATGTGAAATTTTTATTACTTTTTCGTTGGAAAAAGAAATCGGGCTTGAGAACAGAATCTTGAAAATACCATGAACAAACGTTTTTAGTTTCAGATGCTGCAACTATTGATGTATCATATCTTATACAATATGAATATAAACATAACCTTTTAAACGCTAGGCATTGTAAACAGTGGGATAAAGATGGTATGTTGTTGTATGCAGTGTATGTCGTGTTATGTACTGTATGCTGTCTTACACATTGAATAAAGTGGTATTTATGCCGACTCCACATAAAACTCAACACATGTATAGAATTGAATAAGGCCATCATAAGATGACAATTTATTATAATGACATCATGACACAAACTATGAAAATGATGTTTACTGTCAATTTACATCCTTAGGTGGGGATTCGACAGAATTACGCCACACCAACACACATATATATAAATCACAAAACAAACAATATTAAAAAAGGGTGGCATGTCAGGGTGGGTTTTTCAATAAGGCAAATTTGGTATAAATTTTCTTACACATTGAATAAAGTGGTATACACTGTATTGTGTACATAAAGTGTGTATATGTTACACAGAGTATGTTGTGGTATACAATTGATGAGTTGGTGTATTGCATATATTGTGGTTTATAATGTCTATTGTAATATGGGTGATATGTTGTGGTGTATAGTGTGTGTTGTTGATGCAGTTTAAGTTGTGATATACACTATTTTGTGAAGGGAATGTTGTCACGTTTAGTTTCGGTATTCAAGATATGTTTTGGTTTACAATGTATGTTGTGGCATACAATGTATGTTGTGGTATAACGTGTTTGTTGTGGTATACAGTATATATAATACAGTTTAATGTGGCATACTTGTAACAATGTCTGTTATGGTATACACAGTATATTCCTGGTATATATTTTGAGTATGACATGTTGTGATATACATTATTTATGTTGTGGTATACAATGTATATGTTATGGTATACTATGTATATGTTATTGTATACAATGTATATGTTATGGTATACAATATATATGTTATGATATACTATGTATATGTAATGGAATACAATGTATATGTTATGGTATACATTGTTTATGTTATGGTACACAATGTATATGTTATGGAATACAATGTATATGTTACGGTATACAATGTATATGTCATGGTATACAATGTATACGTTATGGTACACAATATTTGTGTTATGGTCTACAATGTATATGTTATTGTATATAATGTATATGTTATGGTATAATATGTATATGTTATTGTATACAATGTATATGTAATGGAATGATGCATTGTATACGTTTTAGTATACAGTGTATGTCGTGGTATACGGGTTTGTTGTGTTATACATTGTTTATGTTGTGGTATAAAATGTATATGTTATGGTTTACAATGTATATGTTATGGAATACAATGTATATGTTATGGAATACATTGTATATATTATGGTATACAATGTAGATGTTATGGTATACAATGCATATGTTATGGTATACAATGCATATGTTATGGTATACTATGTATATGTTATTGTATACAATGTATATGTAATAGTATACAATGTTTATGTTATGGTATACAATGTATATGTTATGGTATACATTGTATATATTATGGTATACAATGTATATGTTATGGTATACAATGTATATGTTGTGGTATACAATGTATATGTTATGGTATACAATGTATATGTTATGGTATACATTGTTTATGTTGTGGTATAAAATGTATATGTTATGGTATACAATAGATATGTTATGGTATACCATGTATATGTTATGGTATACAATGTATATGTAATGGAATGATGCATTGTATACGTTTTAGTATACAGTGTATGTTGTGGTATACGGGTATGTTGTGGAATACATAGTTTATGTTATGGTATACAATGTATATTTGTGTATACAATGTATATTTGTGTATACAATGGTTATGTTGTGGTATACAGGGAATGCTGATTACAGTAGTGACATTCTGGCTGGAATTATTTCACATTGATTCTCGTGAGGACGTGGGAATTGTAAACGGCTTCATGTGGTCGAGCTCCGTCAACGTTCTTACTCTCGTTGCTTTTTTGCTTCGAAACTACGACTGGAGAATCCTTCAACTAGCATTGTCTGTTTTCTCAGTTTTCAGCCTGGTAGAAATTTTGTAAGTACTAAATGAATTAAATGCATTACCAATAAGTCTATCAACGTTCCCACTTGATACTTGCTATGGGTAGTTTATGTTATAACTGCCACTATTATATCACCTCTATACAGCTTTTTTTGTCTGATTGTAACAAACTGCCATGGGTTTTCGCCGACAACGACGAGACGTCATAAAACTAAAACATCATTCTGATGATGAAGACTTTTGGGGGTTTGTGAGCTAATTCTGACGATTGAAATGAGAGAAAAATACTCTTTCATGCCAAGAGTGTAGGGTAAGGAAATTATTCCCGCGGGATCTTCAAATTGGTGCAAAACCCGATTTGAAAACCCTTGGTTGGAATTTCCCTATCCTCCACCCTTGGTAAGAAAGAGTCTTCGTTCGTTTGTTAACATTTGTATGTCAATCCCTCAAACAGCATGATGTGTTTCTTCTCACACATTTAAATAATCGCAGAGACTATCATATAAATTGTATGTACAATTAGTTGCAACCATTTGAAATATTAATGTATTTATTATATATACATGCATTGATAAGAAAAACTGTTTTATGCACTCTTTGAAGCCTGATGGATGAATCGCTGAGATGGCTAACTGCAAACAACAAGATGGCACAGTCTCACGCACTCATCGAGAAAATTAGGAAACAAAATAAAAGGAACACACAGATCTTATCGGAAGCTGATCAGAAAGAAACTGACATGAGACCTCTGTCTATTGATGCGGTTGGAAAAGTAATCTTCCCTTTACGAAGTAACCCGTTAACGGATCAAACCACTGTCATGGTAGAGGAACACTGGTCACAACTGGTGACAGACAAAATACTGAGGAAGCATTCACTGATTACATGGGGTTTGTGGTGCGTACTTCATAGTTAAGATCTGTACCAAACAAAAACATGTTGTAGACTTTTAGTTTGATTTCCAATGTACGTGTAAATTATTATTACTTTAACCATTTTCCCGGCGAATATATTTAAATACAAATGTGATTTGATTTAACGCCATGAAATAGTCTGTTTCACATCATTCGCTTTTCGAACGACAAATAAATAAATATTTAAAGTAACTATTCTTGCAGAATCCCCTATAAAATTGTCAATCCCCAATATTAAAATATATTTCTGTATTTATACCGGCAATTAAAGACATTATGGAGAATATTTCTGGTATTGCAGACAAACAGAAATGAAATAAGGACTGATGATAGAGTGGCTGATTAGACCAGACTCCAAAATAGAGGAAATATACATATTGCAATAACTTAAGCCTGTTCATAACGCCACACTCACGCCATATATTAGCTGTGCTGCATATGATACCTAATACATGATATTAATATTTGTTTTAAAGTGTAACTTACTACCTCAATTTGTATAAGGCAATACAATATAATGTGCTATCTACGATAGCTTACAACCTTATCTAATAAGAAGTGATATACTTTGTTGTATAGGGTAGCCAACAACCTCACGTACTACGGGATTGTGATGATGACTCCCAGTTTCGCTGTTGGTCGCTACCTCGGTTTCTTCCTCGGAAGTATTTCGGAACTTGTTGGCAATTTCATCTTGTTGTTTTTTATTAAACGGTAATTTGCATTTGTACCCTTTGAACTGTGTTGATATATTGAGACATATATCATTTGAATTTGAGTGAACAGGACAATAGTTCGTTCCCCTTGCAATATGCGAATGAGGCAAACCTATTGGCGCGGATACTCTAAACTATTTGCTAACAAAATTTGACTTTGATAGTTAAACCTTTTCGTTTTGAATTCACAGTCTAACTCAGACGTTAGATATTTGCAAAATAAGCAATTTATATTCAAAGAAACTGACCTATGATTAAGCTTCTGTTTATTGTACCTGAAGCGTGATTTAATCACATGTCATAGTTCATGAAAAAGAAAATCATTGCTCAACACACATTATAAGTGAACATGTACCGGGACCTGAACTTCCATCATATTTTCTGTTGGTATACCTTGATAGTGTTGTAAGAGTAGAATATGTTGTTGTGTGTTTTCTTAGCGGGATATCTATTATTATTTCAATCTTAAGACAAAGAACATGTATTGATACATGTAACAAACTGTATATATCATTACAGATTCACCCGGAAAACGACCATAATTATATTCCAATTTGTAGGCAGTGTGGCACTACTTCTCACTATCATAACAATCCACTTTGACAGTAAGTGAAGTAATTTAATACTAACTGGTTTATACGTCATTCCAAAAACGATCATTCCTGATGAATATTCCTAAACATCCAGTCCTGTTACATTGTGAATACTATCGAAGATGTTGGATTTTGACCTTTAACTAACCGTAGATCACAACCAAAAGGTCAACGTGTGAATTGAATAATTGAATAAGTAAGAGGATAAACGAATAACCTATTGTTGAATGTCTTATATATTCGTTTAAAAATTAAAAATGTAACAAAATTACTTGACCGGTGCTGTTTACGTATGTCTATATTATAACTCATATTTTCCGCATATGCTATCATTATACCCGTGTCATTTTCTTGCCATATGTAATAATAAAGAGGTCACAGTCTGAACAATTTATGTGACCTCACAACTTCAAGATGGACTTTTTGTTTACTTGAAGATGGTCAGGAAAATATGGTACTGTGTAGTTTTCAATGTGTTCTCTTAAAATATCGAGTATGATTTAAAAATGGTTATTGAAATTGTTTCGATTCTATATGACATTACAGACAATAACGAGGTGAGTCTTGAAGTTTACATTATACAGAGTTTTTATATAAGTACTTGTTAGAGATAAGTATGTAATATACATATGATATTAATTATCTACAAAACGATTGACAGGTGATGTTGTCCGGATTGTTGAGGTGGTGCTGTTTGCCGTCGGTCGGGGAGCGATATCAAACTCATTTAGTGCTATCTACCTGTACACTCCGGAACTTTTCCCCACAAACCTCAGGTAAGGTATATAGTATTTTCAATTGTCAACATTGACCATGACTAGTACAAAGGATTAGAAACACGCTATTTCAACTGATAAAACATACATTCTACGAAACATGAATGATAAGCTAATATTATACATGCCGATGTACCCGGGTCTCAGTAGAACAGGATACATACATATATGAATCTATTGCGAAAGTTACAGAATTATATTTTATTGATAATAAGCTGTACTGTCTATGAGTTAACTTGTTCTATTTACAGGAACGCAGGTCTCGGTGTAGCATCGGCCGCTGGCAGACTATCTGGCATCATAGCACCATTCTGCGTCTATATGGTAGGTTTATTGCCATATTTCACAACAAGAGTGTTGCTTTATTAGTTGTTTTTTTCAGCAATCATTTAAGGAATCAGCTCCTGCATTTAGTTATTTGAAAGGCGCATATCATGAAAAGCTACCTGTAACTAACCTAGCCCTTTTGCTAATAAGCAACTAGATGGAAGAAATTTTATTATATATTTATTTTCGAAATTTGTTCTTTTGTTATTTCGTTTGTTTCACATGTGTTATAGATGGAAGTGGCTCTATGGTTGCCATCGTTACTATTCGGTTCATTATGCCTGACATTCTGTTTCCTGATCCGGTGTCTTCCGGAAACGAAAGGGAGAGAACTACCACAGAAGATTGAGGAAATCTGGGAATGGTACAATCATGACCACCACAGACAAGCCATTGATACAAATACGGTTGATCACGAAGTATTTACTACTTCACCTTTACAACAAACATGAACATTTCAAAAAGCTTCACTGAATAGTTACATGTAATTTATTAGCACACAATAATTTATCACAAAATAATAAATAAACAGTAATTAACTATTTGTGCTGTTGTAAAATTAAAACTTAATTTATTGTACCTGTTGTGATGCACTTATTATGTATACATAATCATTTGAACGATTTTTATATGAATCAACATAGTCAAGTGTATGTTTTTATTTACCACAGTTAGAATTTGCTATCAAATTTTGTCAATTCATGTATCATATAAATTTTTAAACAGAAGTGATACGATAAGCGATGCAAGTTAAAGTGAACATTGACAAGAAAAAAAAGGTTCAGTATTTTCCAAGTTAACTACAAGCGAATGTAGAGTCATTGATCAGATGAACCCGAGATTTGTCGTGATTCAAACAATTTGCACTTTTGCTTTGCATAAAATCATTTTCAATTCAATGGAACACAAACTCAATCAATAAAACGTCGAGAGAAACACAGTTGATTTTGATTTTCTTGCAAATAGTGATTACTATCATCACTCGATCGTGTAGTGGGGAAACAAACAACAAGATACTACCTAAGTGTAAATAAAACCATAGACGACTTTCTGTTACAAGTATGTATTCATTAGCTCTCGATTGTTTGGTATTTAAGAGTCTGTTGATGTATTAAATATTAAATAATGCTAATATTCAAGAATAGATCATCTTTAATCTTATGCTGTTGTTTAAAGCTTGCCGATTTTTAAAGTGAGTTTGTGATTCTTTTTTGAAATTTGTAATCTTTCAAGTTGTGATTATTTATGAGATGTACCTCAGATTGTGCTTTTCTAGCTCCTACAGATAAATCATTTGTAACAGGTACATAGAGGATCACCATGATTTCTGTTTGATAATAATGTCCAAACCCATTCAAACAATTTACCGACATATAAAGTTTATATGAAAGCTGTTAATTTCAGACGCGATGACACTTACGGGTCTTACCTATTGAGTCGAGTTGTTTTCTTATCCCTTAAGTAGAAACACATTCTATTAATCACAATTTTTTAACAGCTTTAAGTTTCAATCACTTTTATTTTCTTATTATGACGAACATTTCATCTAATTTTCATTACGAGTTACTGCCCCTTACACATTAGTACAAATGTGGTTGCACTGTTTAGGGAGATCTCCCTGCTTGATTTACCGAAAGAGCAAGTCGACGTCTAACCTGCAATGAAAGCAATACGGGTAGATAAAGTAAAAGAATGAGACAGCGTTTTATGTCATGGGGTTTCACTAGAAAAGTAGTAAGGATTCATTTGAATTTTTATTTATTACAGTTATACGATAGTATGTTCAGATGTTTGCTATTTGAAAAATTGTCTTTTTAAGACGGCTAAAATTTGTACAGTTTCTGCTTTGCTTCCCTCGTTGAAAGATGCTTACAATAACTAGCGGGTTTTGTCGTAATAATACCCAAAGAATAAACTGGGGTTTCTTGTGTTTTTTACATTCCAAATGTTTTATGCAATGTAAACTTGCAAAATAACATGTTCAAGACATGACGTCATGTTTTTTCGTCTTATTTTCCTATTTTTGTAGATTGGATCAGTACTAGCTATAAGGAGTTTTTCAATCTGGTAAATACTCATAAACAGTATTACTGTTATCAGATTAACACCAGTTTAAAACAGTGTGTTAGAAGCATCTGATCTTTTTGATGGATTTGGATGGATGTATTTTATGTGGTTGTTTCACGATAATTTAACTGACGATCAGATGTGGTGGAGTGCTATGTTGGCTAGAGGAACTAGAGTTCTGTTTTGCCAGACCAGTAGTTAGAACCGATTTTGATTTAAATTGGTAGTTTTATAGCTTGACTTCTCTCTGTTTTAGATATTTCCTACCCTGTGGTTGTTAAATTCATTTCACCAGTTTATTGTTTGTTAGATATGTTTAATTATTGAAAGGCGCTAGGAAGGGATTTCTTTCGGTTCTTTATTTCTGTCATTCATATGAGAGAACTGCGGCATCAATTGGCGGCGCCAAGATATATATATTTCTTGTTTCATTTCATCGATTTAATCATTGGATATCAACCGATCAGTTCCAGTAAGTACGTTTGTGAGTAGAGCTTTGTGAGGGAACCTTCCATATCATACAAGTGTGTGAAACATAACGAAGTGTCTTGACAAATGAATTGAAAAATACAAACACCAAAAATGAAATACCAAAAGCGCTTGTTAATTTTGACCTTCTCTGACCTTTCACGCTAGTAACTTTCATGAATTCATCATCGCTCATAATGTGCGGGGAAAACCAATCTTTTTCTCAACCTTATTGCAAAATGGTGTAAACCGAAGGATGACGTATGTATTCTTGACGTCACTCAATTGTTATTGTTGTACCATTTGTATCATATTCAACGTCGTATTTAAATGCAGGAAATCATAAACGTTTCTGGAAAGACACACCATGTCCTTATTTCACGGTAGATAAATAAACAGGTATACATAATATACTTACAGGGGTAGTAGTACTTTTACACTGAACAGAGAGGCATACATTATTTACCAAGGATCGCCACCAGGCTTTTCCTTTACCTTTCTTCTAACATCAAATAATCAAGCATTCTTTATTTGTATGTTCGTCATATATCTAATGTTATTGTAACTGTTCTCATACGAATCAAACCATCATAAAAATGACCATGGAAACCGCTATCAAGTGTCTGTGATTCTATCATGTTAGACATGGACACCGTCGTCATGTGTTTGTGATTCTATCATGTATGAGATGGACACCGTCGTCAGGTCTTTGTGATTCTGTCATCTTAGACATGGACACCGTCGTCATGTCTTTGTGATTCTACTATGTATGCCATGGACACCGTCGTCATGTGTCTGTGATTCAATCATGTTAGACATGGACACCGTTGTCATGTGTCTGTGATTCTACCATGTTAGACATGGACACCGTCGTCATGTCTTTGTGACTCTACCATGTATGACATGGAAACCGTCGTCATGTGTCTGTGATTCTATCGTGTTAGACATGGACACCGTCGTCATGTGTTTGTGATTCTACCATGTATGACATGGACACCGTCGTCATGTCTTTGTGATTCTGTCATCTTAGGCATGGACACCGTCGTCATGTCTTTGTGATTCTGTCATCTTAGACATGGACACCGTCGTCATGTCTTTGTGATTCTGTCATGTTAGACATGGATACCGTCGTCATGTCTTTGTGATTCTACCATGTATGACATGGACACCGTCGTCATGTCTTTGTGATTCTGTCATCTTAGGCATGGACACCGTCGTCATGTCTTTGTGATTCTGTCATCTTAGGCATGGACACCGTCGTCATGTCTTTGTGATTCTGTCATCTTAGGCATGGACACCGTCGTCATGTCTTTGTGATTCTACTATGTATGACATGGACACCGTCGTCATGTGTCTGTAACTCTATCATGTATGACATGGACACCGTCGCAATGTGTCTGTGATTCTATTATGTTAGACATGGACACCGTCGTCATGTGTTTGGGATTCTATCATGTATGACATGGACACCGTCGTCATGTCTCTGTGATTCTGTCATGTTAGACATGGACACCCATCATAAAAATGACCATGGAAACCGCTATCAAGTGTCTGTGATTCTATCATGTTCGACATGGACACCGTGTCATGTGTTTGTGATTCTACCATGTATGACATGGACACCGTCGTCATGTCTTTGTGATTCTGTCATCTTAGGCATGGACACCGTCGTCATGTCTTTGTGATTCTGTCATCTTAGACATGGACACCGTCGTCATGTCTTTGTGACTCTACCATGTATGACATGGAAACCGTCGTCATGTGTCTGTGATTCTATCATGTATGACATTGACACTGTCGTCATTTGTCCTGTGATTCTATCATGTTCGACATGGACACCGTCGTCATGT